CCGATAGAAGCTGACGACGCGATGAAAGATCTGGAAGATTTTGGTAAGATTGACGACCCGATTGATTTATCGCAAATGATGTCGCAATTGAACAAAGACCAGAAAAGAGTCTTTGATGGAGTATGCCAAGTTTTACAAGATAAGAATCAGATTCTGCGACTGTACGTAAGTGGCGAGGGTGGTACAGGGAAAAGTTTTCTAATTGAAACGATTAAACATTGGATCAGAATAAATTTGAAAAAAACGACTGCCATATCTGCTCCCACGGGTATCGCAGCATTCAATATCGATGGCTTGACAATCCATAGAATGTTTCAACTACCCGTTAGTCATGAATCTACACCAAAATATACGCAATTGTCAGACATGGTCTTGAAAACTTTGAGAGACAAGTTAAAGAATGTCGAATTATTTATAATCGATGAAGTATCCATGATTTCAAATGTGACACTTATGTTTATCAATCTACGATTATGTGAAATCTTTGATACGACAGATACAGATGATGGTTTCTTTGGCAGAAAACACATTCTCCTGTTTGGGGACTTGTTGCAGCTTCCTCCTGTAAAAGGACAATTTTCGTTTGTTAAAATGTCTCGATCAGAGATTCAGAAGTATTTAGGTACCATGGGTGGATGTGATTTGTGGAGATTGTTCGAGTACGACGAACTTTTGATTAATATGCGACAAAGATGCGATAATACATATCGTGATATACTTTCTAGAATACGAATAGGTTTAGTAACGGATTCTGACATCAATGTTCTTCAGTCTAGAAGAATCAATTTTAAAGAAAGTAGTTGCGACGAAAGATTGAATGAACTTTGCACTTATATGAATCAATTACCGATTGATACAATTTGTTTATTGCCCACGTGTTATTTGTGCAAGGTTTTGAACACAGCAATGCTCGATAAAATCGACAGCGATGAAATTCTACTGATAGCAGAAGATGATGTCGACTGTGCTCCAGCAATGAAAAAAAAGGTGCATAAAATTTTAGAAGACAAAGATGATAAAGTGTCTGAAACAGCTGGCATTGAAAGAGTAATAGCGATTAAAATTGGCGCTAAAGTGATGATTCGACGAAACATTGACGTAACTTTGGGACTTGTCAATGGAACGATAGGCAATGTAGTTGCAGTTAATCGCTCTGCTGACGGCAATCGTATTGATTCCATCAAAATAGTTATTTCGGGTAACAAAGAAATCGCAATAACGAAAGTAGATATTAAATTTGAAGTATTCCACAAATTAGTGGTACATCGGAAACAATTTCCATTGTCTCTCAGTTATGGAATAACTATACACAAAAGTCAAGGAATTACATGTAACAATGCAATGATGGATTTAGGAACGACTGTATTCAGTGATGGTCAAGCCTATGTAGGTTTGTCACGAGTAAGTAAATTGGAAGGCCTACATTTGATAAATTTCAATCCAGCATCAGTTAAAGCAAACTCGAGAGCCATTGTGGAATATAATCGACTGAGATCTATATTCAAATCTGAACTGCCACAAATCAATCGGTCCGAGAAAAAGGTTGTGAAAATGTACGATCGTCGATGGGCTATCCCTAATATCATTGATGATGTGCAGAATTATGATTGTGAGGAACCAGAAAGTATAGTTACGTGGAAAATATATGGCCTTTGCAATAACGATGCTGTTTCGTGTTACGCTAATGTAATATTACAATGTGCGTTTCATTGCGTACGTATTAGGCAACAAATACTGAAAAATAAAGCATCGAATGCATTGACTGATGCTATCTGCGCGTATGGTGAACGTAAATATTGCAACATTCAAGCGGTTAGAAGATCTGTCGGAAAACGCTTCGAAGAACGAACACAACAAGATGTTTCGGAATTTTTTACGGCTCTAATGTCGACGTATTCCGACATCAATGATGTATTAGAACTCGAATTAAAGCACGTAACATGTTGCTCGAATGTCAAATGTAATTACAATGTAACTAAGCTGGAAAGCAGTAGTTTGCTAATATTACCTATACATTCGACATTAAAAAGGAAAAAAGGTGTCACTCTACAAAGTTTGATTAATGTAGAATTTTCTAAATGGGAAACGATAAACGGCAATTGTAACGAATGTAAGGGTACCGTGTTGAAAAGGAAAACCGTAATCGAATCAACTTTATCCGTCGTAGTAATACAGCTCAATTTATATACTTTTGTAAACGGTGCTTCTAAAAAAATTATCAACAATCGGATTAACGCCGTGCCGACGAGTAATATCACGATTAATGAAAAAAAGTACAAGGTAATAAGCGCTATATTTCACGAAGGTGAAGAAATGAATCGTGGTCACTACACGTGTATGTTGAGAGCTGACACAAAATCGGAATGGTATTATTCTAATGATATGGAAGTGTTCAAGAAAAAATGGCCCAAAGGAGCACAAGGGGCATACATATTGTTCTTAGAACAGATTAAATAATGGCGCTGTATAAAGGCTGCCGTAAGCGCCGAAATGAAACATCGGCTGCTCTGGCGCTGTATAAAGGCTGCCGTAAGCGCCGAAATAAAACATCGGCTGCTCTGGCGCTGTATAAAGGCTGCCGTAAACGCTACATTAAAACATCAACTGTTCTAGCGCTGTATAAAAGTTGCCGTAAGCGCCAAAATAAAATATCGGCTGCTCTGGCGCTTTATAAAAGCTGCTGTAAGCGCTGCGTTAAAACGAGTGCAATAAGTTTCTAATTTGACCTAGGCTTCATGACATTTCAAAAAGTATCATCAAGAAAAAAATTATCAGACATAAATATGTATGTCGTGTTAAAATCGGAGAGACGAAGAAAAATATATGGTTGCGTTCTCACGAGAATGGGCGATGGAGGGGCCCATTCTTTATTTTCAATATTCATACAAGAATATAAATTCATTCTGTTGCAATTGAAATAAATGTGCAATGTATCGTTAAAAGTTATTACAATTATACAAACATTTACATATATGATTAAATAAAATATATATGTATACTATAATATAATTATATATTTTATATATGTACATATATACCATATATTTCAATTATTTTGAACTGTATTGCATAAATTGTTACTTATACAAAGTTATGTGATAAGAATCGAAAATACATATATTTGTGATACTTGAATTACTATTAATTTATACATGAATTACTATTATAGAAAGCTGCTCTATATATCTGTACTTTAAAAAGTAAGTGATATCCTAAAAAAATCATAAAAATGAAAAGGTCAGGCCATGTTCAAAAGAAGGCACTCAAAAATTTAAACGATCTAATAATAAATTATCACGAAAAGTAACTGATATGTTATTCAAGGTGCCAGTTCAAAGTGAACATACGTAAAGTGTATATTATCTAAATTTAGTAATAATATATTACCATGAAAAATAACTGTGATATTTTATTCAAGGTGCAAGTTCACATTGAACATACATACATATAAGTAAAACTGATTACAATTTGATTCTAGAAAATAAGTGCGATATGTTATTCTTAGTGCACAAAATATAATAGTCGTTTATAGAGATTTGATTTGAAATTCATACTAGCCCGTACAATGAAAAATAATTGCTCGTAATTCCAGAGTACCAATTTGTTAATTACTCAGAAAAATAACATGGCGGCCTGCTCTCAAAAAACTATGATGTTTCTCGATGTCCATTTAGAAATAATGTCGAAGCTCTTACAGAATAATTACTACAACATTTGAAGTACGAAAAGTATTACATTAGAAGAAGATTAGATTAGAATAAGGATTCAACGTATTTTTAAAAGCTCTACACACAACGAAGTGAATATACAAAACTATATACAAATACCTTTTTCTTCTGTGTTTCTGAAGAAAATCTTTTAAATAGAAAATAGTGTCTTGCGATCATGAAGAATAGGTTTTAAATAGCAAGGTTTCATTTGACTTATAATTTTCGATATTATTCACTTAATTAATATGTAATTTTTTATTGTATATTACGACAAATAATCAGTAAACTTTTTAAGCGTATAGCTTTATTGTACTTGACCTGAGAACTGTACATTTATAAATTTTACTTAATATACACCCGTTTCGAGCAACAAGGCAAAGTTTTCTGATCAATAACTTACTCCCTGAAAATACGGTATAACACAAATCGGAAGTTGATACGAAAATTCGAAATTTTACTAAAGAAAGATTGGAGGTTTTTAATTTATACAATTTTCACAACTCTTATTTCAATTATTTATTCTACCCATCGAAAGTTTTTTGAGAGCAGGCCGCCATGTTATTTTTCTGAGTAATTAACAAATTGGTACTCTGGAATTACGAGCAATTATTTTTCATTGTACGGGCTAGTATGAATTTCAAATCAAATCTCTATAAACGACTATTATATTTTGTGCACTAAGAATAACATATCGCACTTATTTTCTAGAATCAAATTGTAATCAGTTTTACTTATATGTATGTATGTTCAATGTGAACTTGCACCTTGAATAAAATATCACAGTTATTTTTCATGGTAATATATTATTACTAAATTTAGATAATATACACTTTACGTATGTTCACTTTGCACTGGCACTTTGAATAACATATCAGTTACTTTTCGTGATAATTTATTATTAGATCGTTTAAATTTTTGAGTGCCTTCTTTTGAACATGGCCTGACCTTTTCATTTTTATGATTTTTTTAGGATTATATTATACATGTATAAAAATATTTTTGTGGTATATTAAATGCGAAACTCTAATCGAAAACCGTGGAAATATTTTATGCCACGTGTTATGCATGTCTTCAAGACGTATTAAAGACGGCTCTAATACGTCTGTAAGACATGCATAACACGTGGCAAATATTTTCACGGTTTTCGATTAGAGTTACGCATGTTGTGTGGATTGGTATTATGGAAGAAATGCGTTTTTATGGATCAGTCAATCGCTAAATTAATTAATTTTTGTGCGGCCGACGAAAATCCAGTTTTTTTATTTATTTAATTATATTATTCTTTTATAGGAATAATCCTCGTGCCACGTGTCTACATAACCTTTATTTTAACCGCGGAATATTGGATTTTTCCCGGTTTAATACCACGATTAGTGAGAAAGAGGATAAATATAAAAAGTCTCTGCTCATCAATATCAGCGATAGTTATATAGAAAATCGAGGTATGTACAATTAAAGAAAACTTAAATCTATTTTCTATCTCCACACTATATACAGAGAAAAATTACACTATTTGCCAAGAAATGTGATTACTCAGTTTAATATCATTCTTATAAATAATTCTTTTAAATAATAGTTTTCTTTAACTCTTTATTAGCAATATTTGTCCTTTATTATCAATTTTTTCCCATTTTCCTTAACGTTATTAGCTAACCTTAGCATAAAAGTATATAAAAATAGCAAAAAACAAATTAATAAATATTATAATAAATAAAAATAGAAGTATTCCCAGATAGCACTGGATGTATTATGGACGTACATTTTAAATCCAATTTATGTCCATATGTCCATGGACATAAATAGGGCATAAATTGGATGTCCTTTTTTGGATATGAATCAAATGTCCTAAACAGTACATCCTATGGACATTCAATATATGTTCAAATTTAAATACTGATTTTTTTTTATATTAACGTTTAAAAAATATTTGCCTTTCGTTCCTATAAAATGTTTTAAAATATTTTTCAAAAATTCCTTTAATTTTTATTGAATATATGTCATTATATATTAAAAATATGTTATTAATAAATATATCACAACAAATATTTTTTAACATTTACTTATATATAAAAAAATGTTTGAAAATGTTTTTATAGTATCATTTAATGTTATAACTAAACTTATATATTTGAGAAATAATTTTTAATATTACAAAATCTGTTCTTTTAATGCCACGATCAAAATATATGTATATTATTATTATTATTATTAAATAATTATTGTATTTTATTATTAAATATTTATTTTAGTATCGCAATATTTTTTTACTATAATTATTTTTACACTAATGTTTAGTTTAATTATTTTTATATTAAAATTATTATTTTTTTATACCAATTAAATATAATTTATTAATAATAACTTATTTTATTTAAATCTATAAATTTACTTTTATTTATTATCGGGGCACATGTCCCCGTCAGAATTAACGGTACTGCGTCTCGTCCTTGACGTCGCGGTACTCGCACGCGGTGATGCGCAAGACCAAAACAACCGCGAATCCTTATTATAGGATAGTGTAATGTTTGGGTCAGTGAACCTTTCCTTATTCGGTCGACGATTGTAAGCACGTATACATACACGTAGTGTAGTGCTGTGAGGTTGCGACCATTGCACAATCTATTGGACATTTGCTAGAAATTTATCAAGGTAAGACGTTTTACTATAATTATATAATAATAATTTTGTCACATTCACGCACACATCACATACGCACGCACACACGCACGCATAATTTCCTTCATTCATTATATAATTGATTGAACGTTTTCGTTTTCATATTCGTTTCCTATGTTCTATAATCTTTAATGATAATAATCTATACACAAAATGTTTTAGAAATAGATCGCTAAACTTTAAGAGCATATTCTACTCACTATAATGATAAAAAGTATATAAACATTCGGAACAGCTTTCTTTTCAAGTTATAAACATTTTTTATTTACATCGGGCAACATATATCTCGCTTCGTTTCATGAATTGTCCTATTCACTTTTTATTAGAAATAAACAAAAAGTTATTAGATGGATCTGTAATAATATTATAGAATCATTTATGATATTTGTATTATTACTGTGAAAGTACTCCGAAATCGTATTATCATTTCGTGTGACAAAATAAATATTTCGAGAATTTTTGGACGTCTTCGATAATATCTATGCGATGTCGATGCGACACGTGCATTAATGTGGAAGAAAATTATTTTCAACAATTTCTGTAATGAAATGTTACAGTTTCAAATGTTCTTAAAATCTGTTATAAAAGATTTATTAAAATCTGTTATTGTTTTCATCCTTACAGTAAATAAAATATGCTTTTTAAGTTTGGCGATTTATTTCTGAAACACCCTGTATACATGGGACATTCGTTACTAAATCAACGCTTTTTTCCGATTATTGTTTATTTGTTTTATTTTTTAAATGTTTTTGTACTGATTGCTAATAGCGTTATTTATAAATTTTTTAGATTATTATTTCTATCGATTCTCGAATTTTCAACGGATTTTCATCAATTAATTAAAGGTAGAAAAATATTAATAAATTTTAAATTTTAATATTAATTTTAAAAATGCCAAAAATAAGAAGAAAATATTATCGAAGAGCACAAGAGATAACTAATTTAGTAATTAATAATGTTCAAAATAAGAATTTAATGCCATTATTAGAAAGTACACCTTCAGTTTCAAATAATAATTTAGAGGATTGCAATAATTTTTATATCAATAATGATTTAGAAACCGTGAATAATTATAATTCGGACCGTGATCCCGATGATACAGAACATAATTTTGATAACTTTGAATCTACAAATTTTGTGAATAACTTTAAATCTATAAATTCCACTACTGATTTTCCAAATTCTATATCTTGGTTGCAAGAATGGGCAATTAAAAATAATATAACTCATACTGCGTTAAATGAATTAATATCTAATATGAAACTTAAATATCCGGAATTGCCTAAAAATGCTCGCAGTTTATTAGGAACTCCCAGAAAAATCAATGTAGACGTCGTTGCACCAGGACATTACTATCATTTCGGTTTAAGTAATTGCATCGAAAGACTTTTATCGCGATGTTCTTTTCAAAATTTACACTGTATTGAAGTTAACATTAACATCGATGGCCTGCCATTATTCAAAAGTTCAAGTAGTCAAGTTTATCCCATTTTATGTAATTTAGTTGAAAATTACAATGAAGTTGATGTCATTGGAATTTATCATGGACATGAAAAACCCACAGATGCCAATGTATTTTTACAATCTTTCACAGAAGAAGCAAAAAATTTAACTATTCATGGTATAAAAATTAAAGATCACACTTATTCTTTTAAAATTAAATCTTTTATATGCGATGTTCCTGCTAGATGTTTTATTACTTATACAAAGGGTCATTCGGGTTATTACGCATGTTTTAAATGTACAGCTAAGGGCAAATATTATCTCAATAGAATGACTTATCCATATTTAAATAGTTGTCAATTAAGAACAGATAACGATTTCCGATTAAAATTACAAGAAAACCATCATATAGGTACATCAATACTTGAATCGATTCCTAATATAAATATGGTGAATGATTTTCCATCTGATCCGATGCATTTAATATTCTTGGGAGTTGTTAAAAAACTGATTTCTTTATGGTGTTACGGAAAACCTAAAACAAAGTTATCCTTTTGTCAAATATCTGAAATATCAAAGTTATTAGAACATCAAAAAAAATATATACCTTCCGAATTTAATAGAAAATCAAGATCTTTGTTTGAAAGTAAAAGATGGAAGGCAACCGAATTTAGAACTTTTTTATTATATACGGGATCTGTTGTTTTAAAATCTATTCTAAATCATGATCAATATTTAAATTTTTTAACTTTACATGTAGCTATCACTATTTTGTCTAATTCAAAACATATGGAACAATATTTAGATTATTCCAACTCCTTATTGCAATATTTTGTAGAAACATTTATTAATTTATATGGTAAAGAAAATGCATCGCACAACCTGCATCATTTATTACATATTTGTGATGACGCGAAAAAATTTGGAATTCTTCAAGAATTCAGTGCTTTTCCGTTTGAAAATTACTTACAATCTATATTAAAAATGATTCGTAAAAATAATAAAGAATTAGAGCAAATTGTTTGTCGTATAACTGAAAGAAACTATTGTATAAATTCTAATGTCAGAGTGAAATGTAACGAGCCTCAATTTTTAAAACCACATTTTAATGGTCCACTTATTATTAATTTTCATAATTGTAATCAATTTGGCAAAGCGGTGTTTAAACAATTTATTTTAAAAATAAATGAACCCGATAATTGCTGTAGCTTAAAAGACGAAAACATTATTGTTATTAGAAATTTTGTTGTAAATAATGAGGGCTTTTTCGTAATCGGAAATAAATATAAAACGCTTACAGATTTTTACACCGTACCATGTAAGTCGTCAAAATTAGGGATATATGTAATCAATGATATTGGAAATTTAGAATCCTGGGATTTAGGGCAAATTGCAAATAAATGTATGAAATTAAAATATAAAAATAAGTATGTAGTTTTTCCCTTATTACATTCAGAATATTTTTAAAAATTTTTCTTTTCTTGTGCTCTTCGCTAAAAAAATGTTAATTTTTTATATAATTTATAATAATATATAGATAAATATAATATATATATAATATACAATATAATATATAGAGGAAATAGGTTTGCAATTTTTGTGATAAGTTATTGAGTGTTTGCGCCTTTTCATATATAAATTGTAAATAGAATTTTTTGTTGGAATAAAATGCTCCTTAAATTTTTTGTTGAAATGTTTGAAGAAATGGAGAGATCATGGACTATAGTAAGGTTTATAGATGAAGATACAGTTGAAGCTGTCCCATCTACCTGGATTATCAATAAAAAATGTTATTGGCCACCGTTTCACATGGAAAAAATTGTAGCGGCTATCAAAAAACATGCCGAACCAAATACATGTTGGCCTTCATATAATGTTATGACTTTCAGAAACAGCAGTTATGGTTAATATAAAATATTTAAATATTATACATTCCACATATACTTTTGTGATCAATAATATATGTACATAATCGTTATTTTTGTTATAATAATATAAATATATTTACTTGTATTTTCAGATAACTATAAAACAGCCAGGGAAAAAGCCAAAAAGGCTGAATTAACATCTGAATTAAACTCCGAGACTGATAATGATAACATTTCGAAAAGAAAAATTATCCCAAAGAAATTCTTTTCGTCATCAGATGAATCTACCGAAGAGTGCACTAAATTACGGACGCCTCCAATTATGAACACACAAAGTTCGTTTTAATATTAAATATTAATATATAATATACATAATATATATAATATAATATAAAAAATATATAATATATTATTATATTATATTTTAATGTATTATAAAATATATTTATGATATA